ATTACTTTAAAAAAATTTGAAAAAAATCCCATATAATGATTTTTTAGTGATTTAATTGCTTTGTAAAAGAAACAGTTAAAACCATTATAGTGAATTAGAGACTGTTGATTTCAACAGCATAAAACCAATTACTAATTAAATACTGAAAATGTTATGCTTAAACAATTCAGAGATATAGATTATTAGTTAACTACCTAGTGTGTTTTATGTACTCTGTTGAAACGATTTCGGGTGTGGATATGGATATCCCTATTCTGTGATTCTAGACATACTAACACACTTGTTTTATGTATTTAATGAAATAGAATATGATAAAACTTGTTTTTTGGGGTCAAAAACTCTTGATTTTTTTCGTTTGTTCTAATTCTCAGAAAGAAATATGATCCTAATACTCATTTCAAAAAAGAAAAAGTGAAAGCATTTGTTGAATAACTTTTGATAGAAACTAGATAGAGAGGTTCGGTTTTTGTCGTTTAAAAGAGGAGATGAAACTGCATCGAACAGTCTATACCAGACGTTTCTGACAAATTTTCTTAGAGTCTCTCTCCCATTTTTTCAAAAAATCTAGGCTTTTGACTAAGTTTATAAGGTGAATTTTTCGTTAAAAAATGAGGGAGAAAGTCAATTTTTAAGGAAAAATCTACCGATAATATGAAGTAAAATGTGTACAATTCATGATTGACTAATGCTTACAACGTAGGACTTCCAGAATTTATAGATCTTTAGTTAATGATTCTATTGCACTCCTGAAAATTGATATCGTAAAACTTTCACATTAAAAAATCTTTTGTGTTTAACAAACTTGATGGTAGACTCTGAGAAAACTTGTTAAAAGAATCTGATATAGACGATTCGATGCAATTTTATCTTCTCTTTTAAACAGTGAAAACTGCACCTCTCTACATAGTTTCTATCAAAATTTATTCAAGAAATACTCATACTTTTTCCTTTTTGAAATGGGTATTCGTTCGTTATACCGGAACAACGTAAGCATATTTGTTCCCGAAGAAAAAGATGGGTATAAGACAATTTAGAAAACACAGATTAATTGTTGAGAACATATTTTCTTGAAAGTTAAAGTAATTTGGCCATTACTCATTGAGAATCAACTGTACTGGAAGTAATTGATACATCGATGACATAGGTCTGATGTTTATCTTAAACCATTACAGTCAATTTGAATCAAGTGTTAAGTGAATTATCATTGATTGAGAATAGATAAAAATCACCTGGCATTGATTCTAATTGGAGATGTGGGAATCAATTGTTGCATTGATTACAACCGATTAAGATAAATTAAAACCGGTTCTGAATTGATTAAAGATCGATTATAATCATACAACTTGAATCGATAAGTATAGAGGAATAACAGTTTCTTCGATTATAATCGATTTTAATCAGATTTTCCCCCTTTTTCCCCATGGGTATCGCCCATGCAAAAGGATCTCTATCTTGAAAGTGCCGTATCTCAAAAGGACGTTCATCGAAACTTCTGAATTTTTTTAATGTAAGCTAGTTTAGTTCAGTTCTCTATATGCACAAAGATGCAAATGAAAATTCAAAAATAGGAGATTTCTGAACACCAGAAGTGCTCGAAAAAACTGATATACTAAAAATAATCAACTCTCAATAGGAACCAAAATCCTTTCAGGAATTTTATTCGAACACAATATAGTATCATTGAAATCAGAAGGTGAAATCTGAACAGTTTTCAATCACACACACTAGAGCTTGTATTTTCCAATACAATAATTCTACAAATGTAGTCGATATGCAAAAGTAAAAAGTAAACAACGATAAAAGTTTTATTCTTGTGTTAATTATATTTAAATAAAAGAAAAAAAGTTTTATCGACAATCAATTTTATTTTTCTAATAGAATTATAAATCGTTACAAAATAGAATTAACATTTCAGGTATGGCTGAATTATCTGATGATGATACATTAACTATCGCTCGTGCTCGTAAAATTCAACGTTCTCTTTCTCAATCGTTTCAAGTTAGTTTTCATAATTCATTAACCTCATTTTATAAATAGTTTTTTGTTTGTTGTAAAGGTCACTGAAGTTTTCATTGGCACATCAGGAAAATTAGTACCATTTAAAGAAACAATCAACTGATTTAAGATGGTATTGAATGGTAAGAAATTCTTTCTTTTTTTAGATTAATGAATTTATTAAAAATATTTTTGAATTGGTGAATTGGATCATTTACCTAAAGACGCTTTCTATATGGTTAGTAGCATTGAACATGTTTCTGTTCGTGCTGAAAAACTTACATCAGAACGTTAGGATAAATCAATTCTATGAACAATATTAAATCGATCACATGTTCTTAGTATATTTCTTTTCGTTATTTTTTTTCATTTTTTATATAAATAGAAGTTATATTTATTGAAATGCTATAGACTAAACGATGTGAGCATTCTGGTCGCTCACACCCCCGAAAAAACAAATAATTTACATTGCGATTAAGAAAAAACTTTCTCGCAAGTTGAACATTGATTACGAATTGATACTGATACAGAATATTCATCAAGTCGACGAGGAAAATCATGTGTCAGCAATGATTATATGTTACAACAAAGGAAAAGGATGTTTTTCGCGTATGATAATAAGACCATGCAGATTAGAAGAAGACGTGGATTAACAAGATTATTTCTTAGAATCACAATAAGTACAAGACACTCATCAAAGTCATACAATTGAGAATAGTGAACACTACCGAATGTGCTGGATCGTAAAACGTATCCTAATCTCGTTTGATTGTAATACATCATTCTTGTATGTTTCATTTTATCGTCAAGTCTCCTACTAATCATTTATTTAAAATAATTCATTCCTCTAGATTTGTTGCACTTATTTGCTAAATAAAAGAACAATATTTATAGCAAGTAAGATCTCTTATTTATTTAAAGTAATTACTAGTTATATACAAAAATAAAGTATGTCCTAAACAACTTAATTTCTACCACCATAAATATAAATCACGATTAATAAATTTGATAAAATAATTATAAAGTAAATTTTCTGATTTAATTCAAATTTTTAATTTTTTTAAACATATGTTTGATGTTTCTGCAATACATTAGAAGAATAAATGTTGTTTTTTATTATTAGTTTTCGATAATAAATATTTCGTTATTTGTCCAATTTCTTTTCGTTTCATACAAGTTTTAAGATATTCTAATTGTAGAAATAATTTAACAATCAATTGAATTTGATTTCAATGCACAAGATTCACGAAGATCTAAACGTCTTATTTTATTTGTTTTTGATACATATTGAAAATTTTAATTTTGTTTAATTAATTGTCGGTTTGTTTCTTTCATAGATAATAAATTTAATTTTAATTTATATAAATTCGATGTGAAGCGTAACAATTTTATCATTTCTTCAGTTGTGCTAAAGTAACCATACAGTGAAGAGTTTTTATAACCGAATCATCAGATGTTTGAAAATAATGTTTAATAGTCAATTGAGTAACATTTGGAAAATAATTTAGATGAATATTTGTTATTTGTCTACTATAAATTGAAGCATACTGAACTGAATTTAAATTGATTTGTTGAAAATGTGAACAATTTTGTTCATGTATTTCCCAATGAAATCAATAATCTTTCCGTCTATAAGAAAATAAAAGAAAAACTAACATGTGCCCTATAATAAACATTCACTGTTTATTTTGCGTCGTTCAAATACCCAACGAAGATTTTTAAAATACTGCTCTAGTCTCATTCGCTACAGAATGAAATTCTCTACAAAACTGATGATTGTGTCTTTCTAGGCAGTATTCATCGTGGACATTAAGATCAAAAAGTTAACATTTACCCAATTGTTGTTTTGCAATTTTCATAAACGTGCAGTTATAAGGATTGATCCTAAAATTACAACTATGATATATTCTGCTATAGAGAAATTTTCACTCTATGCAACGGTAACCTTTTAAATATGCATCGTGCTATTATTCAGAAAAAAACCCTGCATGTTAACACTTGAATGTATTTTTGACGAATAGAGATTTTCTAAACTAGACTCGTCTCGGGTATTATCAGTCGTCATACGAAAAGACGCGTCATTAAATTCTGAACAAAATGATCTAAGCGTTCAGCTGGTTCGCAGAAAATTGTATGTTATTCTGACTCTTTGAAAAGAAAAAGTTTGGATGTCCTGAAACAAGGGTTTTCTTTTTGTTGGTTTTACATTTTCTATCAAAATATTTGTCCTGGAACTTTTCAAACAACATCAAACGATACAGAGTTTTTCAACATATTTGGAATCTTCAGCAGATCCATTTTTTCTAAAATTCCAATCATTTTATCGTTTTTTTTACTATCATAGTTGTACAATCAAGTAGATCTAAACTTTAAGCACACTCGAAATACTCTCGTGAAAAACCAAATCAATGTTTTTCTAGAGAATCAAATGAAGTTAAACCGAGATTTTAATTATTAAGTGTTCGACAGACTCAAAAGCAACGATTTTTCATGGGACACTTATTTATTATTTTTTTTTACCGATATCGATCTGTCGAATAAAGTATTCCAGTATCAAAACGTTTTCTCCAATCATGTTGATGTGTAAAAAACCAATTTTTTTAAATCCAAAACGGTGAATCAAATCCCTTTATCAAATCATGATATTTGAAATTATTATTTATGATAGAATTTCGATGATTTATGTCAAATACACGTAAATATGGCATATTAGATACAATTAAATCTTTCCATCGTTTAGCATTTAAATGTTTCACCATATTTTGTTGTAGGACGTAAAGTTTGAACATAATCAAAAAAAAAATCTTTAAGAACTTTTTCAACTTTATCAAAAAGAATGCAATCAAATTTAAGTGCAGCATATTTTAAATATTTTAATTTAATAGAAGATAAATCTTCTTTTTCGAAATAATCTCGATAATGAACAAGAGCATTTATCGATCAATGACAAAGTTTAGGAAGACAACATAAAAGATTATTCAATGATTTGAATGGAAAATGACCATCTATAATCAATTATTGAATTGAGCTAGAGCTATATTCAGTCAAGTAAATCGATGATGGATACTCAGAATTTATAGTTTCATATCCAATTTTACAATATTTTAATGCCAATAAATTGAATAAATCAAAAAAAAAGAATATCTAATGATTCAATATAATCACCAATTGACGTAGTTAATGAATGAAATTTCGGGAAATACATTAGATAATTAAAAATTTTACGTAAATAATTCATTTGTATTTTATCAAGAATTAATTTTTCAAGACAAATGAATTCTACAACTAGACGTGGTGGTGAGAATATAATCTCAGCAATAAATGGATTTGGCAAACGAAGTAAAGGACCCTGTCGAATTTGGCAACTTCTCTGAACCAAGATACTACATATATGGGTTTGTAGAACTCATTGCGGCGCATCGAATGGTATATAAGAAATCTAAATTTTCTCAAATTTTCGCGTGACCAGGGCCGATATTCGAGCTATAGCCTTAGGTAATATGTATGGAAATCATTGACCTTTTGGTCCCTGAAAGTTTGTAGGACGAACTGATATAAATTTTGTTTTAAACTCAATTCAATAGAGTTATAGTTGCTCTTTAATTTTTATAATCAACTGTGTTCTTCGTTACTTTTCTCGTGCTTAAAAATAACCATGTGCTATAGCTCTAGGCTATTTTGTGACTTTTTCACATTTCTGTCTGCTTTATGTTATGTTGCAGAACAAGTAAGTAACAACGTGAAACTTTCTCAGANATAGACACGAACGAACAATTTCAATTGAGCAAGAACTAAAGAACAGATACATGTAACAGAAAGAGAAAGGAAAATGAACATGCACATCTATAGTTCATAAGGAAGAATATTTCCTTAACAAGAACAATGCAATACATGTTTCTACTTTTAATCCTCGAATTATTGAAGCTAAAACATACGAATGCAATTTGGCCACCTTTAAATTTATCAAATATTGGAATTCTTGTAAGACTCATTCAAAGAATTTGAATAAAACACATTATCTGCTCATTCTTGAACTATGTTCAAAGCAGTACCTTTTATCGCACAGTTCCTTCGGATAATGCGGCTGCGTTATCGATTACACACGGTATACTGGACCCAAAATTTATATGGATATGACAACCTAATGTTTCATTAAACTCGTTCGATCAAAATTCATATCTAAATTTAATTTGAATCTTGACCATAGAATCTACTATTAGAGATACTGTCAATATACTCATTAACTCAACATTATTAGATACAGCTTACAGTATCTGGAAACAACACGAACCTGAAAAGTGGATTATGATGCCTTATTTGCATTTGATGCAACTCGATTATTAATTCAATCTTTGGAACGACTTTGTTCATTAAAAAACAATTGTTCTGTCTCGTGTGTATCACATGGAAATTCATGAAAGAGAGATGCACCGATGGCATCGAATTTCCAGATCGACATCCCGAAATATCCACGGAGTAGCAGCTTCTGAGACTAATGTACGTGAACCAATGCCGAACCCTTCAGCTATCGAAAAATAGTACTCTCAACACTAGATCTAGAATTCTGATGCCCATTAACAGCCTATATCGATGCGTCGAAATACCCATTGGAGAACACCTTGGATAGAATTCCCCTTTCTCATATTCAACGAAAGAAAAAGCAAAAGTTTCCAAGATTTGACAACTTATTACACCTATTCAGTCTTAAATAGTTGTAAGTTTGAAGTCCATAGATTTTAAAATGAATGAGATTCTTTGGCAACACTACTATGTAATATTTTGTTAGTTTTTTTTATCAACTGATCGATTATCATGAAGACACGATAAATTTTGAAATTTAAAAGACACACATAAAACATTCACTATTATTGTATTTATGTCTTCGTGATCTTGTGTTGAATGTAACTCAGACATTTCGAATAGGTCGAATATAGCTAAGTTTTGCAATACAATTCTTTCACCAAATTCGATTTACGAAAAACTTTTTCAGAAAATTTTGAATATTGATCTTTCCAATAAAGTAAATCTTATTAATAATCTAAGTTCACGTAAATTCTCGCTACAGAATTAAAATCTATTATCTTCTACTATGAAAATTCACATCGCTCCTCCAAAAGTGATGTTCTACTACAGATCAGTCTTTTTCTAGCTTTTGTTAAGAAAACTAAAGGTTTTTGAACAAGGTTTCTGGCAGTTTCAGAAGTAAAGTGCCCGAAAACCAGTTTTTTCCCTACGAAAAAAGTAACATTGACGCACAACGGAGTAAGATTTATGAAGCTATCAATCTTGGTAATGCTGATCTTCTCGATTGTATTTTACCATCGATCAATGTCTACAATGGTACGAAAAAATATTGGTCTGATGAATTAAATTTGTGACAATATTGGTACATTTTCGATATCGTTTCTTGTGCTATTAATCTTGGACGCATAAGTTGTATTTGAGTTTTGTTGGATAAAGTATATTCTGGTAATCTTAACTCGGTTAAAGTACGTGGCTATTTCTAGAATAAATACAATAGACATATAGTGCATGAAGCGTCTCAAGGTGGTCATCTCGGAATCGCTAATATCCTTTTAAAATATGATGCTAACTGTAACACATAGAATTTCTCTGATCAGACTACTCTTGATTATTCCATCGATGAAGGACATATCAACATTGTTGAACTTTTCCTCTCACATACATATGGCGACAATTTTACACCGATGATGTTAGCTGCTCATCAAAAATTTAAGATAGATTGCTGATTTACTTTTTTAAACGTTACCACTCGATCGAGCAGTTGACAATCTGTTACGATTAGCTTGCCGATATGCAATCGATCTTTGATATTCAAAATCATGGTATGGAATAATTTTTTTTTCAAAAGGTTTAAATAAGAAATGAATACTGGATGATTCTATTCTCGATGAAGTTCAGAAATTTCGACCTGAATATCGAACATTCGATCGATCAATTGGAATCCATAAAAGATGATGACAATGCTATAAGAATGCATGCTTTACTCGTCAATGAACAAAATTTTCTTCAGCATGGAGACGTTTCTATTTATATTGGTTTAGTTGAGAAACACGCATATCAATTGATGCTTCGAGTCTAACATGATTGCCAAGATTTAAGAAGATTGCATCGAAAAATTTGTCATCGATTAATCAACAATTTACAGATTACGTTGAGACAAAGTGATGTAATGCCTATCGACTCATTAGTGATTAAATGTTCAATTGGATGACGGTTAAGAATGGCTTTCTCGCTATGTACTCCAAGAAACATCACCATTCGTGTTTCGCAAAATGACGTTCCCCGATTTTGATCAAATTGAATCGTACCTCTGGTATAAATCACTTAGTATTGCACCAGGAATCAATTCATGAATTGTCATCTGATGTCTTGATATTAGATTATTTTTTTTTATCATCCAATGGTCCTCAATGGGAATTATTGAACTTATTTTTGTCTTTTAGTTTTGTAGAACTAATTGCTAACGAAATTCTTTTGCTTCAATTAGACATGCAAAAAGATTGACTTAAATTAAAAAATCAGGAATAGTTATAAGAGCAGCTGCAGTAATAGCACTACATGCAAACCATTGTCGTTTTTCCAAGATGACATTAATCATTTATTTAAAATAGTTCATTTCTCTAGATTTGTTGCATTTATTTGCTAATTAAAAGAAAACAATATTTATTTCAAATAAGGTCTCTTATTTATTTAAAAGTAATTACTAGTTATATACAAAAATAAAACATGTTCTAAACAACTAAATTTCTACCACCATAAATATAAATCACGATTAATAAATTTAATAAAATAATGATTAAGTAAATTTTCTGATTTAATTAAAACATTTAATTCTTTCAAACATATTTTCGATGTTTCTGAAATACACAAGAAGAATAAATGTTGTGTTTTATTATTATTTCTTGATAATAAATATTTCGTTATTTGTCCAATTTCTTTTCGATTCATACAAGTTTTAAGATATTCTAATTGTGAAAATAATTTAACAATCAATTGAATTTGATTCAATGTACAAGATTCACGAAGATCTAAATGTTTTATTTTATTTGTTTTCGATACATATTGAAAATTTTCATTTTGTTCAATTAATTGTAGATTTGTTTCTTTCATAGATAATAAATTCAATTTTAATGCATATAAATTCGGTGTAAAACGTAACAATTTAATAATTTCTTCAAATGGAAAATTATAAGATCCAATAGTTAATTTCTTCAGTTGTACTAAAGGAATCATATGATTAAGAGTTGTTATAATCGAATCATCCGATGTTTGAAAATAATGTTTAATAGTTAATTGAGTAACATTTGGAAAATAATTCAGATAAATATTTGTTATTTGTCTACTATAAATCGATACATGTTGAACTGAATTTAAATTGATTTCTTGAAAATGTGAACAATTTTCTTCATCTATTTCCCAATGAAATCCATAATCTTTTCGTCTAAAAGAGAATAAAAGAAAAAATAACATGTGTCCTATAATAAGTATTCACTGTTTATGTTAAGCCTTTCAAAACACTTAACGAAAAGTTTTTAAAAAACCGTTCTAACCTCATTCGATAGAGAATAGAAATCTCTACAAAACTGCTGATTGTGTCTTTCTAGAAAGTATCTGTTGTAGGTATCAAGATATCTACAAATTTTCATAAATGTGCACGTATGAAGATCGATGCTGAAATTACAACTATCATATATTCGACTAAAGAGAAACTCTCATTCTATGAAGTGATAACGTTATATATACATGAAACTTTTATTCAGGAGAAAAACCTGCATGTTAACACTTGAATGTATTTTTCACAAAAAAAAAAGATTTTCTAAACTATATGGTAAGATGTATCATTGAGTTTTGAACAAAACGATCTAAGCGTTAAGCTGTTTCGTAGAAAATTTCATGTTATACCAAGTTTTTCAAAAGAAACAGCTGGAACTTCCTGAAAAAGTGTTTTCTTTTTGTTGTTGTTACATTTTCTATCAAAATATTTGTCCTAGACACTTTTAAAAGAACATCAAACGATGCAGAATCTTTAGGTATATTTGAGATTTTCAGTCGATCTATTTTTCGAAATCCCAATTATTTTCTTGTTTTTTTTTTAACTATCATAAGAGAATCAAATGTAGTTAAACCGAAATTCTAATTATTAAGTGTTCGAAAGACTCCAACAAGCGATGATTTATTATGAAACACTCGTTTATTTTTTTTCTTTTTACCGATATGGATCTGTGGAATAAAATATTCCAATATCTAAATGTTTTGTCCAATCATGTTGATGTGTAAATAACCAATTTTTTTTAATCCAAAATGACGAATCGAATTGCTTTATCGAATCATGATATGTTAAATTATTATTTAGTATAGAATTTTGATGATTTATATCAAATACACATAAATATGGCATATAAGATACAATTAAATCTTCCCACCGTTTAGCATTTAAATATTCTTCATCATATTTTGTTGTAAGATGTAAAATTTGAACATTATGAAAAAAATCTTTTAGAATTTTTTCAACTTTATCAAAACGAATGCAATCAAATTTAAGTGCAACATATTTTAAATATTTTAATTTAATAGGAAATAAGTCTTGGATTTCGAAATAGTCTCGACAATGAATAAGAGCATTAATTGATAAATGACGAAGTTTTGGAAGACAACATAATACATTATTCAATGATTTGAATGGAAAACGACCATTAATAATCAAAGATTGAATTGAACTTGAACTATATTCAGTCAAATAAATCGATATGGGACATTGAGAATTTTTAGTTTCATGTTCAATTTTACAATATTTTAATGTCAGTAAATTGAATAGATTAATAAAAAGAAGATCTAATGATTCAATATGATCATCAATTGAAATAGTTAATGAATAAAATTTTGGTAAATCCATTAAATAATTAAACATTTTACGTAAATATTTCATTTGTATTTTCTCAAGAATTAATTTTTCAAGATAAATAAATTGTAAAATCAGACGTGGTGGTGAGAATATAATCTCAGCAACAAATGGATTTGATAGACGAAGTAAATTAATTCGATGTCTATATGGTATAAGAATATTAATATAATAATTTTCGAAATCAATTTTTGATATGTTTGAAATATTTATTTGATGTAAAAACTTTGAATTAATAATTAAATATTCAAATCGTTTATTAAGATTGAAAAATCCTTTATATATATCATGCATATCAAGATATTCAAACATTTCATAAAAGATTTCATTTGCTAAATCTTCAAGAACAAATCTAAATAAAATAGAATAATAAAAATATTATATGATATTAAATATTTTCACTTGTTCTGTTCGATTGTTGTTACTTAAAAAACAAAGAAGATAATTAAATTTATCAATTATAAACATGAAATATTACTTTTATTTTGTAGTTTTGATGTTTTACTACTATTCGAATTTTGAACTATGTCGTTTTCTTGCCATTTTATTCGTTGCATATCTTCGATAAATGAATAACGATGATACTCATCAAGAAAATCGTTTCCGAACGAGATACATAGTCACATGGTATAACAAACATAGAACGTCTTTTTTCTTTTCTGTACACGATGAATTGAAAAATCACTTTATTGTTATTGTCATTATAAAACAATTAATAAGAAAGAATTATTAAATCTATTTTGACATAAATGATCATATACTTCTTGTTATATAGTTTTGTTTTTTATTGCCATGCGTAATATAATAAGCTAGAGAGCGTAACTGCTACAGTCAGATTTGACCTATATTTCGTCAAAAAAAATGTGAAAATGTGCAGTTTCTATGATACATTATTGTCACTCGTCAGATATTTTTTCAATATGCAAAGATACTATATACGCCAGATATTCAAAAAAAAATATAAGGAATATCTTGAAAATTCTTTGGAACTTTGGCAGATTAACGTATTCACTTTATAGTAGTTTTACGATTCATTCTCCTCACTTAATAGCGACTTAATCCCAAGTATTACTTAATCAAATTTCATCGTTATTTATTAATTATTTATAACTATTTAATATTTATTTGTAGTGATTTTTTTCTCCTATCTTCAATTGAATAGCTATTCAATATCAACCTGAAAGTTTTTGAGCTAAAGGCTGAAAAAAAGAAAACTTGCCATGGAAAACTTGTTAATTCTGTAACCATCGTGATGAAATAACCGTTTCTATTTAATAAATCCTCAAGTTCTCACTTTTGCTAATTGTTTTATTTCGAGCGTTGAATGATTATTTCATCTGTTTATAATTCATGATCAAATCGATTAAAATATGTATGAACATTCTTGAATAGTTATGATGCCTTTTATGTAACAAAAACTGACTTATTCATTAGGTATACTTCTTTTGAAAAGTTATGAATTTTTTACAAAGTTTATGATGCATAGCTTTTTCAATAGATGAGAAATTGTATGAATACTGTCGTATAGTGTTTCTTTTTATTCTTCGTTTAGTTGATTTGCTAAATTTACGAAATAATTCAAGTTTTACAGATGAGTGATTAGACTCTATCAAATCATCAAATAGTGATTGCCGTCATATAACGAATTTAACGCGTGATAAACATGCAAAAAATTCATCCAAACTGATACAATGTTGTTTTCCAAGATGATTAAGATGATAAATAAAGAATGCAAATGGCTTTGAATGTTATTATATATATTTGTCAATCGAGTGATAGCCAATTACTTGCGTTGCCAAACTATGCTAGAGACATACATCAACATTTGATGATTGTTTATGTCTATATCTGATGGAGAAAGTATCAATATGATCGAAATTCATATTGCGATCAGAATTTTAATCATATTAACAAGCACTGATAAGTTATATGGCTTTGTAAAAATTTATTAAAATCATTGGAAAAATAAACAACCAGATTAATACTTGATAGTATTGTTTCGGTTTCTCATTCATTGAAAAACCTATTGATATTAAACATTTTCTTTTGTTGTGATTAGTTAAGTATAGGCTAACTGGTCAAAGTTTCATAAATTGTTTTTAGTTATCAAATTTAATTATGAAAAATAATATTTGTTTTCTTTTTATTGAGTTATTTTTCGTCTGTGCTGATATGTGAATAAACTGTGTTCTAAGTAAGCTGCGTAACGATAATTGAATTAGCTGTTTATTTTGGTGGAAAGAAATACGACAGGCATCCTAATAAAGCTTAAACTGCTCATTCTAGCTCAACTCAGAAGATATCTGAAGCAAAGACGCAAGCAAAATCGAATTTTTGAGTAAAAATTATATACGAAAAATCCTATGATTTGGAAAATTAAATCTCTTGTGACTTCCTACATTTTCAAAATTTGGTAATCTGAGGCTACCATGAAGTCGATATACGATTAGTACACCTAATGAAGCTGATACGATGAGAATGACACAAATGTATTGTTCTCATGTATTATTTTGCCCTTCAGCGTAAATTTATATGCTATTGTATGTGCCTCCATAAATTTACTCTCAAATGAAGTATTTTTCGTCTCTTTTTCGATACAAGTAACTTTTGAATTTTGACTTTAATAATCGAAAAATCGATCATCTACTGGCAAACTTTCACATGTACCGTAGTTATATCAACTGAGAAATCAACGAGATAGTGCATTGACGTCAATAGATGATCTCGTATTCAACATTCAACAGCCTTGCTTATTTTCTTTGTCTTACATATATATCCAGCATTCAAAGCAACTATTCGATGCAGTTAACTGTTATATCATAATCAGATATATTTATTGAATCTTTGTCGAAGTCTCAGCGTATCCACCAGATTCAAAAAATAGGTGTTAGTAAGAAAAATATCCTAAAAATCACAACAATTTTGACAATATTAAATATTCTCGACCACTCAACACCAAAATTCTAGAATGTTTTTTAAATGATATTAAGAGTAACTCTAGTTTAATAGAGAATCTTCAAAAAACAAATTCACTATTTTTTGTTTTCAATCTATTGATCTCAATAGAGACAAAATCAAATTTTGTGTATTTTTATTATATAAAAATCGACTTCCTTTCGAAATGTCCTTGCGATCTGAAATTATTTTCATTTAATCAGTTGCATAATAACATGAAAATGTCTCAAACTCATTCGAACAATTGGGAAAAGACTTGTACGAATATAGAAAAATACTATGGAAATTTCGTTACTCTTCGTTTTTGAGGTTGTCGAATAAGTTGATGTAGGAATAATAAATGAAACAGTAGGTTACATCTTCTTATTGCGATTTGAAGATTTTTTGGACTTGTCTACTATCAGTAACGTCTCTTTTTTTGCAATGAACTAAATGACTTCGAACCATCGTGATGTAACTTGTCAACAAAGATATGTCTCTGGGTGTGAGTGTAGCTCATTTCGTCTTCCACACCCTATTAATAATTATTTTTTAATTAATTAACCATAATTTTATTAATTAGCTAATAAATTGATTTCTTTGTAACGGTGTGCAGTTTGGCGAGAGGCGAGAACCGCAAAACGTCGCCTTGAAACTTACGCTCACTATTTTCTTCGAAAAAATAAGTGAATTCTATAAAAAGTTCTGACACACTAGCAGTTTAGTTGTATATTAAGCGAATTCTTAACAAAAAAAGAACTATTAAGAAGAAATAAATGAATCTATTGCAAATAATGTTTTCATTTGCTATGCTCTCAACANTTTCCAAAGTACTACAATAAAAAATTTCATGAGGTATTTTATTGTTTTAGCCATGGACAATAATATACCGCATGAGATTTTTTATTGTCGTACTTTGGGGAAGACCTAGGCAGTTTTCGAAATTCGGCAATATTGTCGAAATTCCGTTATCGAAATTCTTATTGGCGAATTTCCGTCTTACCATAAATATTACTTATGTTGTGATGTCATTTTGAAGTAGTGAGCAGCATCAAATAAAGGAATTATTAGCACATATTTCATATAGGGTGTGGGTGTGGATGTGGGGTGTGGATGCCAATTTTATTAACAGATCACACTCACACCTACCGACACCCACACACCCACCCATGCACTCACCCACACTCACCCACACCTACCCATACCCTCACCCACATCTTGAACATGAAAATATTAATTGAAGTTTTCCATTATTAACAGTAATAGATGAAGTTTCTACATTTGAAATAACTATTTATGAAGACAAATGATGTTCAGAAGATAACTTCAATTAGTGTTTTCTAACATGCATTGATGCCTTCAATATATCATGCAGATATGGATTTTGTAGTGTTGACCTTCTGCCTCTGACAATTTCGTTTTATGAGTTTCTGTGAAGTATGATGAACATGAAATGATAAAAGATACAAAATAATCTTCTCTTACCTCAATATCTTCCGCAGCGTCACAATAATACAAAGCGCTGAACATGTTAGTGTCAAAGCAACTAATATCCAATGTCGTGAGTGTCTACGAAAAATAACAAGAATCAATGGACGAAAAATCAGAAGAGATTTTGTTTCACCTCATTTCTCTCTAACATCTCTGCCAAACAAATTGCTGCTGGTGCATCCATCGGATTACCAGCTAAAATCAGTGTTTTAAGGGTCTGTGAAAAATATTAACATGAGATAAGTGATGCACAACAAGAGATACTGATTAACTTGATTCATCATCAACGCATTAGCAAAATACTGTGCTCCTTCATCATTGATGCGATTCCACGCAAGATCCAATAGTGTTAGCGTCTATAAAACATGGCAATGCTTAGTAAATAGTGTTCTCAAAAATACCTTATCTTACTTGATTGACTTTCAATACAGCAGCAAAGTGCTGAGCTCCCGTAGAACTGATTCTAGTTGCATTGAGGGTCATTGACGTGAGTGACTGTACACAATAATTATGTTCAAACAATAATAGATAAGAAGAATTCTTGTCTCACTCGATTGATCATTAAAGCATCCGACAAAAATTGAGCAGCTTCATCATCGATCTGATCTCCGTAGAGTTCCAATGTCTGGAGTGTCTTCAAAGAGTAATAATATTAAATGAAGAATAGTTACGAACAGCTTTTCACTTACTTGATTAAGCTTCAAAACATCAGAGAGGTACTGTATTCCTATACTAGTAATACCACTTCCACGAAGAGCTAGTGTCGTGAGTATCTGTTAATTTCAATGGTTCCTAATGAAAATTACAGGAAAAAGAGTGTAATTTACTTGGTTAATTTTCAACAGATCAGAGAGATATCGTACTCCCTGATCAGTGATTTTATCTGCGGCAATCTCCAATACTGTCAAAGTCTGTATAGAACGATGGTATCAAGAAGATAGTAGATCAGAAAAGATCGATTTTCACTTGATTAATTGTGAGTGCATCAGTAAAATACCTTACTCCTTCATCATCAATGTTACTTGTAAAAAGAGCTAGTCTTGTGAGTGTCTGGAAAGAATGAAGATGCGGAATAACACTAATGCTTTTGAAGATACTTGGTCCTACTCGATTCGTTTTCAATATATCACTAAAGTACGTTGCTCCTATATTACCAATACTGGTTGCTGAGAGCTTCAGTGTTCGAAGTGTCTAAGAAGCATCATAAAATAGAACAGATAACGGATAAGAAGAGACTTCGACTCACTTCATTGACTTTCAATGCATTAGCTAGATCTTGTGCTCCTTCGTCGTTGATAGAACTCTTACTAAGATCAAGTTCTAGAAACGTCTATAAAAAATGATAACGTTGAATAGATCGTATTCAAGAATTAAACTATTATCTCACTTGGTTAATAGCTAACACATGCGCAAAAGCCTGTGCTCCTGCATTACTAATGTCATTATCACAAACATTTAGTGTAGTAAGCGTCTATGAAGAATGATAAAGTAGAAAACGTGATTGATGATAAGGATATCTATATTACGCGATTGCTTTTCAATGCATCAGCCAAAGAATAGACTCCTGCATCACTAATACAGTTCTTGCAAAGATTCAATTCTCTGAGTGTCTATAAAGAGTCATATCATGAAATGAATGATATATAGAAAGAGATTTCATTTTACTTGATTTATCTTCAGTGCATCTGCAAGAAATTTTGCTCCTATAAGGTTGATACAATTCTGAGCAAGGTGTAGTGTGATAAGTGTCTTTAAAAAATCATAATTTTGATTATATAATAGAAATGGCAAGGCGTTTTACCTTACATGATTAATTTTCAATGTATCAGCTAGTGATTGCACAGCTAAATCGTCGATACCATTGCCATTAAGATTCATTGTTGTAAGAGTCTATGAAACATATTGATATAAAATTGAGAAAATACGATGAGAGATTTTCTCTTACTTGATTGATTTTCAATGCATTAGCAAGCTGTTGTAATAGTTCTTCTGAATTTAAGCCGCACCAACTAAGATCAAGTGTAGTCAATGTCTATGAAAAGTGCTGATATGAGATTGAAATTAGAGAAGCAAAAGTACTCTCCTACTTGATTGATTTTCAACGCATCAGCAAACTGTTGTAGTCCTTCAAATTCAATGTAGCCTTGCCGAAGATTAATTTTGGTCAGTGTCTATGAAAAACGTTGACATGAGGTTGAAAATACAGAAACAGAGTTTTTCTTTTACTTGATTGTCTTTTAATATATTAGCTAGTCGCTCTAATTCTTTAGGGCGTATCGCGTTCCAATCAAGTGTAGTGAATGTCTGAGAAAAAGAGTTGACATAGAGAATATAAAAAATGAAGTCAAATCTCATATACTTTTTAGGTAATGATGAAGATGTGAATAAAGAAGAAACCGAAATACTAACCCACACCACACATATTTCAGCATGAAAGTAATCTTCTTGACAAAAATACGTTTACTTTCAAAAAACGAACTATGCTTTATTGATGCCTTTTAATATTCTATTTTAAATACGATTTTTATCGCATTGCAGTAAAGCAAAGAAACATGAATTGCTCTAGAGTATTGATAAAGCAAAATTGCTTCTCAATTCAAATGACGTATCAATAAAAGTCTTTGAGAACTGTTAAACAAGACGATATTTTAAGAGCAATTTTCAACAATTACTTTTATAAGGTATTCATTATTTTACAAAGAGAATTCCGTCATTTTCAAAAATCGATAGTTACTGTAGCAGTTACCTGAAACGGTTCATATGTATCTATGATAGCATTGAGTCGTTGACAGACATCATGAACTGAAAGAAGAATATCTAATGCGTCTAGATAATCAAGAATTCGATATATAATTTCCACTGGTAGTATTAAGAATGATGCAATAATGTCGTGTGACATCGTCAAACGGTAAGTTTATTGAAAATGTGTATGTGTCTATATCGAAACGAATGCTATTTATAGTGGTAGATGTGCACATGGTAGATTCTTTCTTATGTTATTTTTGATAACAATACCGTGAGTTGCATATAGAGAGAAGAATAAATGTATGTTATGAAGGTAAATATAAGATAAAGTAGAATCAGATATGTTCTCTTTTTCTCTCAATAAACTTACTTGTATATGTCATGTTAAATCAAAGAGTCAAAGCTTGAGACATTAATTCAGCTAATTGAAATGTATTAGTTTCTTTGATAAAAATCAAGAATATTATCCAAAAATAATTCTAGATTGGTTAAACAAAAAAAGCAGATACAAGAATGTGCAAGATACAGAAAGATTTCTTTTATCATCTTATTATAAATCTCGGTCATATATTATGTATTAGTTCTTACAAAGATTTTACTGTATTATAATCATAAGGTATTAAGAAACGAGGGTGTGGGGTGTGGGTGTGGGTGTGGGTGTGGGTGTGTGGGTGTGGGGGTGGGTGTGGATGTGGATGTGTGGGCGGGTGTGTGGGTGTAGATGTGAGTGTAGATATTGAGAAGTATCGGACCTACACGCACACTCACATCCACACCCACATCCACGCCCACACACCCACACCCTCAAGATCGTGGTATGTGATGGATTTCCAGAACCCGTCTGTCATGGTCTGAGACTGGGGAGGGTGCTAATTTCTATCCTAAATACTTCAATATTCCTTTCAGATCGTGTTCTACACAACAACCTTAGGACAAATACATTCAAATCCCATGAAGTTTTTCAGGTATATTTCAGTTGTGATTAAAAAGGTGCAGTAAAATTTCCAACTCTATATAATGATTGTTTGAGATATTCAACTAACAATGCTTAAAAATAGCTTACTTAGTAACCAAAAATTCTCTGCGTGCGTTCGATTCATATATTTCATACGTATTGTGAGAAGTACAAGTTAAATTGAGTGTTGAAGATTTTGATCCATCCTCTATCCTCAAAGACCGTGGTACACAGCTCCTGAAAGCAGTTTTATCGTGTTTCACATTTTATTCCTGCAGAACATGGTAGAACCAGTTTTCTTTTAATCCCTATTTTTAAGGAGAAAACCGAAAAGATAAGTTCGATGTCTCGAAAAGCTCTCAAAACTGAGTACTCTAATTATAGAATTACTCTTTTATATAATAGTAGTAAGGCTTATTTCAAAAAAGGGGCTATAATGGTATAACTCTAGATTGCATAATCAAAAAAATATAAAATGGAAAAAAAAGAAAAAGATTGTATGCTTTATTTCAAACAATATATTTTTCAAGTAGGTCATAACAGTACTCATGAAATATTTTCGTAAAACAAGTAAAATGTCAAATAAAAACTCGTGCCGTTGATGAATAATTAGATCCCAGACAATTTCTCTATGCAATTATCTCAATTTCAAATAATTAAGATAAAATTTGACTTGAATAGGGAGGGAAGGTACGAAATGGATTAATAGAAGAGTATTACAATCAATTTTAAATGTATTTGTGGAAAAATTTAATTTAATTATTGATTAAAGGTTGATGTGAAATTTTTATTTTGCTTCAACTTTCACTATTAGGCAATGTCTATATAAACTAATAAAGTTTAGGGCGAATCCTAAACGACTTAAGTTACTTTATCTGTTTAAGATCTATAAATCTATCGGGTTACATAGAGAAAAATTGATTCAAACAATATCTGTTTTACGCTTTTGCATGATTTCAACTGATTATTATCAATGAATACCGACTAAAAAATATAGTTTCCATCAAACTATTATAACAGTTTGAGAAAGAAAAACAAACATTTTAAAATGTTCTACAAATAGATATGAATTATAGACCATGTAACAATGTACAACAAAGGATAAGGTGTTATACGAGTAATGACAAGAAAAAGATTTTATTATCTAATGATCATCATATGAAAAAAAAATGATTTATTTAAAAATTTATTTCGTGAATTATTTCAATTATAGTTTTTCAAAAGTTCAATGCACAAAGAAAAATATAGATCAATAGATATACATTAACCAACGATTTATAGTTACGGGTCAAACAGACTTAAACAAAAAAAACGAATTAAGCAATGTGATTCATCTATTTCGATTTAAATCGTCTTTCTGAAATAATTTATTCGTCAATTCACTTTAATTTATCTGGTCTGTTTGGGGTCTTAGACTCATTCACTTTCCTCTTTTGCCTGTTACCATGGACATAGATAGTTAAGAAAAATATTTCTCTCTGTACTATGACTTTTTTCGTTCAAGTTGTCCTTTTTTTACGTTTTTCTTATATATATATATTATATTATATTATTAGAGCTGGAAAGTCAAAATTTACGGTATATAGCATGAGGAAAATGTGACCAATCAATATATTCAAATTCAAACTAACTAATTATATTTACAGAGTAAAGAGTATTTCATAAGTTTCAGCTCCATCTTTATTTCTTAAGTATTTTTTTCTGTATTTAAAGTTAAACAGATATTGACTATATATTTTTGTGATGAACAACATCTAAGCTATATTATCGAAAAGAAATTGCAATCAATTAGCATTATTCCTAAGAAAGTGCTACATCGATGAAAGCATTGAAAAAAAATCATCAACTTTTCTTCTTTTAAATATTCCTTGTTATAATCGATAGGATAGAATAAATGATTGTATTTTCAATATTGAATAATTTACTAGAACAAAGTTATGATAAGATACAGTTTGATAAGTTCTATATATAGAAAAGACAACCTACTGTGGTTTATATATGCACTTTTTTATTTTCAAAATGGACAAAATTCTGTCTGATTAATTTTCAAGTACACAATGTATTTCTCTCCTTATTTCATCAGTTAAAGAATCATTGTTTTCAACTTTATCCCATTGCATGTTGTTATAATTGGAACATATATTGACTGGTCTAAATCCGCCTTCGATTATGATGTTTTATATGATTCTTTAACTGATGAAATAAGGAAAGAAATATATTAAGTACCAATAAAGTCATCTTTTTCTTACCGTTGAAAATAAAAAGGGGCATATATAAACTAAGTAGGTTGTCTTTTCTAAATTATACAACTTATTAAACTGTATCTTATTATAATTTTGTCTTAGTAAATGATTCAATATTGAAAATACAACCATTTATTCTATCTTATTGATTAAATCACGGAATATTTAAAAAAGAAAAGTTGATGATTCTTTTTCAAAGTTTTCATCAATGCAGCACTTTCTTAGGATTTGTGACAATTGATTGCAGTTTCTTTTCGATAATAAAGCTTAGATGTTGTTTATCACACAAATATATAGTCAATATCTGTTTAACTTAAAATACAGAAAAAATAATTAAAAAATAAAAATGAAGCTGAAACCTATAAAACACCCATTAACCTGTAAATAAGTTTCTAATATGCTTTTCTTAGAAAATTTCCTACTTAAAAAATCTTTGAAAGCATTTATTCACTCAATTAAAAGGATGATTTTAATCATTTTCATAAAAATACAAGTTCAAGATAAAAAACACTGTGAACATTTATAACTAATTTAAATAATACATAAATATATCTAAATGAAAAATCTATTCTTTCTAAAAGATATTTCTATCCTTCAAACATCTCATCAATTGTTTTTTTTTTCAAATTTTTACCGAAATGATCTTCATTCGTTGAAGTCATGTTGTGAAAATGATCGAAAAGACAAGGCAATTTTTTTATAATATAATTCAATTATTGACTATTTTATTTTCGAATTATTTTAATAAATATATTTCTAGAATAAATGATAGTTTAATATTTAGTTTGATTTTCAAACAAAAGTCAACTGAACAATTCTATTTTCTATATTGCTGTTAATTTATTGTTTTACCAATAATATATATATATATATATCTCAATAAAAAAACAGTCTATTTATTAAATATCTATATACGTTTACTTCAAGCGAAGAAA